CTAATTCAGGTTCTCATCAGAAGGCAACGTTAATAATAATGGTGACGAGTATGATGATGAGAATGATGAGGATGATGATGATGACGATGATGATAACGATAAAGGTAATGGTAATGATTCAGGTGTTGGTGATAATGACGTCATCAACGATGATGATGATGATGACGACGACGACGAACCAATCAAACGAACATCATCGCCATCGTAATAAACATCACCACCACCATTACCAGCACCACCACTACTACCATTACCAGCACCATCCCCCACGAAACTCTGAAACACAGCCTCCTCTTCATACTCCACAGTCCAGAAAAAATGAACATTAATGGAAAAAATCAAACCGGAAATGACGAACCACGCGCAGACGGTCCTGCCCCTCGTGAACCTTGACCTTACCATCAAGGGGGCAATAACTGAGACTGCCCTCTCTACTGTCACAAGAACCAAAGTCCAAGAAGACAACTGATTGAGATAATATGTCAGAAAAACATGCAAGTTGCACCACCAATATGAGCCAAACAGCGTTCTCACATCAATTTTGTCGCCAGAGAGGTAAAATACCCAATGTCTCAGGAGGGAAACAAACAAAACACCTGAGTCAACAACTGCCAGAGTGCTCAAACCGAACGCGGCGGAACTTTTACGAAAAGGGCGGCTGGCTAGGACGACGAGGCTAAGGAAGTTACCACAGATGCCGGCGATCAAGAGGATTGGAGAAATGATTAGCCAGAGGTAGGCAGCTAATTCGTGCTCTAGATCACCTGACATGATGTTTTTGTTGTTAATGTGATGGTGTTGATGCTGTTATCGTTGTTGTTGTTTTGTTGTTGTTTTAGTTATAATTGTAGTAGCAGTAGTAGTAGTAGCAGAAGTAACTGTTGTTGTTTGTTTTGGTCGTGTCGTTATATTGTTGTCGCCACTCAACGATGCTGGCTTCCAGTTCAAAAGAGTCGCCAAATTGAAAATGGAAAGAATGATTTATTGGCTGCGGTACATTGCTAATGGTAGAAGCAGCTACTGTTGTAGTAGTAGTAGTAGTAGTAGTAGTGGAGGTAGTTGATGTTGTTGTTGTTGTTGTTGCTCTTATTCATGCTGCTATTGGTTTTTCATATCGGGCTTGTAATCCAATCAGAGGTTAATTAGCTAACTCAGTCTGCTGGCTCTTGTGAAAAATTATTTGTAAAAGTAGTAGTAATAGTAGTACTAGTAGTAGTAGAAGTAGTAATAGTAAATACTACTAATGATAATAACAATAAAAATATTAATACTAAAGAGAAAGAAATCCATCCCCGAGATTCATGAGAAGGGAATTAAAACTCTCCCGCCAAAAAAAAGTGAATTTAGCTTTTCCCGCCAAATTTCTGACGTCACAACGTGACGTCAGAAGTGACGTAACGTAGCAACCGTTTGTGGCTGTCGCCACGGTGACGCAAGCGAGGCGGCGACATTTTGTCTAATTACTTTTTTCAGATTATTTTAGTTATTATTATTATTATTATAAACACAATTTTCTGCCTAGAATAATAGGAATGGTATCACATACCTACCTTAAATACATACATACATACATACATACATACATACATACATACATACATACATACATACATACATACATACATACATACATACATACATACATACATACATACATACATACATTCATACAAACAAACGTATAAACACACATACATACAAACAAACTAAGACAATGATCAGAGGGTTCAATTAAAATGCAAAATTGGAATGATGACAGATATGATTATGATGATGATTCTTTTAATCATAAAAACAAAAAAAAATTGTATAATATGGTTATTATTATTATTATTAGTAGTAGTAGTAGTAGTAGCAGTAGTAGCAGTAGTAGCAGTAGTAGTAGTAGTAGTAGTACTAGTAGTAG